GGCAGGAGGATAGCAAGTTCAAAGCCAGCCTCAGCAAAAGTGAGGCGCTAAGCAACTTAGTGAAACCCTGTCTGTAATAAAATTCAAAATAGGGCTAGGGATATGGCTCAGTGGTCGGGTGCCCCTGCGTTCAATTCCTGATACCCAAAGTGGGGGTAGGGCACAAGGTTGTAGCTCAATGGTAGAGCTCTTACCTAACGTGAGGCCCTGGGCCATGGGTTCAGTCCACAATACTGAAAAGGAAAGAAGGAAAGAAAGAAAAGTTATTGTCTATTTGGGTTTAATTCCAAGGAAATCTTTGTATTGCAACTCACAGACTAGTCATAGTTTAAACCAGCATCATAGTAATATTAACTTAAATGTTCATCAAAATATCTGACAATTTGTTTACTTTATTGTGTATTTTAATGCCAATGTTTAAAATTTCAGGTTTAAATAATCTTCTTGATGAAAACCGAATTCAAGATTTATCTCTCCTGTATCAACTCTTTAGCAGAGTTCGAGGTGGCGTTCAGGTGCTCTTGCAACAATGGATTGAATATATCAAGGTATTAACAATTTATTTACCTGTGATTTTTCATTCATGATTTATAATCTACATACCCAGAGTGAGTTTCAGTAAGCATTTGTTTGTTAGATACACACTTTTTTCAAATAAGGGAATTTTGAATTTTTTTTTTAGAAAAATGTAATGAGGACTAGGGATATAGCTCAGTTTGTCAAGTGTTGCCTAACAAGCACAGGGTCCTGGATTCAATCCCCGGCACCTACACCCTCCCTCAAACAAAAAAGAAAAATGCAATGAATGAAGGTTTGAGAAGTCAGCCTGAGAATGATAGCTCTGTGGCACATCAGCAGTAAAACTTGGTATCGGATGTGATTTATAGCTCCAGTACTTAGAGCAGTGAATGTTTAGGAAGAGAATTTTCTTGGAACCCAAAATTTCATTCTTTCCTTTTACAGTAAAGCAAGATTTCCATTTAGAAAAGATTCAAAGCTAGCTTCTTTAAAAATAAGGAAAAGATCCTGAAGCGTAACACATTATTAAGATACTGTATAACCAGCCGGGTGTGGGCACATGCCTGTCATCCCAATGGCTCAGGAGGCTGAGGCAGGAGGATCCTAAATTCAAATCTAGCCTCAGCAATAGCAAGGTGCTAAGCAACTCAGTGAGACCCTGTCTATAAATAAAATACAAAATAGGGCTAGGGATGTGGTTCAGTGGTTGAGTACATCTGGGTTCAATCCCCAATACTCCTCCCCTCAAAAGATATTATGTAATCAATAGCCATTCCTTATTATTTTTGTGATTATAGATTAATGGTATCAGTTTGAATATTTTATCACATTCCCTTCAGAAAAGCTTTTTTTTTTTTTTTTTTTGTACTAGGTATTGAACTCAGGGGCACTCAACCACTGAGCCACATCCCCAGCCCTATTTTGTATTTATTTATTTATTTTTTGATAGAGACAGGTTCTCACTGAGTTGCTTAACACCTCACTA